ACACACACACGCATGCACACACTCTCACACACACACACAGCACACACACTCACACACACACTCACGCACGCACACACACACACAACACACACACATTTCAGTAGCTGACAATTATACGGGGTTTTATAGTTCCATAATGGGACAATTGCATCTGTTATGTCAACAGTCCTAAAGGGAGGCAAGATTGGGAAGGTAATCCCCATTTGACAGGAGAGAAAACCGAAGCACAGAGAGAAAGTGATTTTCCCAGGATCACAGAAAGTAAGGAGCAGAGGCACGGTTCAAACGGAGCCTCCCTAGATCCAACACTCTTTCTAGCAAATGTCCTCAAAAAAGGGCTGTCTAGACTCTTCCTTATTGTCCCGGTCTTGAACCTGGCCTGGCCTCGTTGGGACAGTGCCTATGAAAAAATAATATGGGAGCAGGAGCCAAGAAGGGCTCGCTGGACGGCTTCCTCTGAGCTGGCTGGGGAAACGTCCCAATGAATGACAGCTCCTAACTGCTCAGGGTGATGGGGAGACGGCCTCCAGAACAAGCTGAGTTCTGGGTCCAGGCCTGGCTCTGATCCATTGGCTGCGGGGAAGCTGGTGAGCGACCAGAGGAGGCTGGCCAAGATGGCGGAGGGCCCTGGCCTCCCTCCAGATGGGAGGATGGCGGGCATCAGGCTAGAGAAGAGAAGGATCGGGAGGGCCTGGCCACGGGCAGAACCAGCAGCTTAGGGGGAAGTTACAAAGAGGAAAACATTCCCAACTAGAGAAGTCTTCCAGAAATAGCCTAGGCGGCCCCAGGCGCTGACTTCCCCCTTGAAGAAGGGCCTCATGCACAGACTGGATGACCACTGAGAGCCCTGGACATTGGAAAAGAAGTCCAAGGCAGAGCCCGGGTGGCCAGCCATGGGAGGCAGGAATCAGTCACCTTCAATGTGTACCTCCAGCTCTTTGGTGCCCCCCCCCCAAGGACTGGGGAAGGAGGAGGGGTCCTCTGGCCCCCCCTAAGGACTGGGGAAGGAGGAGGGATCCTCTGGCCCCCTCCAAGGGCTGGGGAAGAAGGAGGGGTCCTCTGGCCCCCACCAAGGGCTGGGGAAGAAGGAGGGGTCCTCTGGCCCTCTCCAAGGGCTGGGGAAGAAGGAGGGGTCCTCTGGCCCCCTCCAAGGGCTGGAAAGGAAGAGGGGTCCTCTGGCCCCCGCCAAAGGCTAGAGGAGGAGGGGTCCTCTGGCCCCCACCAAGGGCTGGGGAAGAAGGAGGGGTCCTCTGGCCCCC